CAACGCAAAGTCATTTACCACACTCTGGCCATTGCTCTGTCTCACGACAGTCGTCGTCCACGCAGAACCATCCGCCTTAAGCGTATTCGCGAACGAAACCGTCTCCCCGCCGTACGTGTTGAATCCGCCGCCCCAGGGCAGGCTCGGGTTCGAGCAGCACCACCCGGACCCGAACCACCACGTGCCGGAGCGGCCGTCGAGCACGTTCTGGTAGACGCCCGAGTTGTCGGTGGGCTGCAGCCCGGGCCAGAGGTAGTACACCCCGGCCTGCTGCAGGGTCGGGATCACCATGTCCCCCGAGAAGGAGGTGAACTTCTGCCCGGAGGCGGGGTAGTACCGGAGGAAGTACCATGTCACTGCCGACACCGGATTGGCCAGCAGGAAGACCGATAGAAGAAAGAGCTTGCGATGCATGGTTGAAATGGATATCGACTTGATGCGATACTTGGACCGATAGAAGACCGCGATTAAACCTGTCGGTCGCTTCTGACTTATTTATGTTCACCATGAAATCTCACCTGCCTCTTTTGACAAGTCCAGGGTATCGGCACATCATGGGGCACGTGTGATCAACCAAGTTGCGATAACCGTCACCGCATTACCAGTTGAGGAAACCTCGATACCACCTGAACCAGGGTGAACGGGTTATCTGCTTGAACGAAGTCACGCTGCCCTATCGGAGTTGCGTGAACCAGGCGATCCAAACAAGTTTATCGCTGCAACCTGCAAGAGTCCCGTTCGGAATCATTAAGAGATGTGCCGACTGGCGCGGCAGTAGCAGTGATGATAACACAAACTTTACAGGTCTGTTTTGTACGAAAGTAGACTGTAAAGTCAGCACTCTTGACAGATTAAGTCAAGCCCTCGTGCAATTGCAGACTGTTGTTCTCCACCGTTGTGTTTTCCTGGAGACTGAGGGTGTTCAAGTCTTCGCAGCATACTGTGAACGAGGAGAAACAATTAGACTGCGTGTGAATTTCCTAGCCAAGCAGCACAGCGAACACAACAGCCCAAAGACTGTCTACAAATTTTAAAAGTGAGAAACATTGACGGTCCTACAGCCGATTCAAGGCTTGATGAAGTCCACACGATCGTTGGATATCGAATCAGCCAACTGTGGTCAGCGTCGTTTCTGGGGCACATAATGTCAGATCTCTGCTCGCTTTGTCCATACTCTTCATCTGCATAGTAGCCAGCGAGTTGCAAGGCATTCTATCGCCTTGGACTGTGCGGGTCGCTAATGAAAATCGGGTGTCTATCAGGGTTCTCATTTACTCCGTAGGCAGTCCACCAGGCGCAACAATCTTAAGTTGCTCGCTACCTCATCCCATGTCTGATCTTCTTTGCTTTGTTCAGCTTCTCTGTACTTTTCCTTTCTCAAAACTCCTGGGCCCAGTACGGCCGATTCCATCGGATACATAATAATGCGCCCAATGTCATTTGGTGAGCCATCGTTTCGCCCTCGTTATCCAGGAAGCAGACCTAACCCCACTGCACAAGCACCTTCTTGCCCTTCTTCTTCTTGCCTCCAGTGGGAGCTTCCTCCTCCTCCCTCTCTGAAGCGTTCTCGCTCGCCGCGCCGCTTCCAGGGGCCGAACCCCAGCTGAAGCTGCTCGAGGCGCCTCCCAGGTCTCGGCGAACACCTCTGCCACCGCCATAACCAAAGATAGTGGTAAGAGGCTTTTGAGCCGGAGGCAGGGCAGGGAAGTTATCGCCGCCAGTAGCCGGTCGGGCCTGTCGTGGTGCGGGTCCCGATGATCTGCTACCATTGCTCGCGGACGGGTTGTTCGGGCCGATCCAGGACGGTCTCGGGGCTGCTGCTGCCGATGAAGACGACGAGGCAGCCGGGAGAGCGGGGAAGGCGTTGGGAGGCGGGGGACGGGGCTGGGAGGAGCCAGGCACCCAGTTGGTCGTGGCAGCTGGTGTGACTGGCTTGGGACCAGCAGCACCTGCGCGCGTGCTATTCTTGAGCCGCAGGACACGGCTAGACTGCTTCGAAGAGGGCGCAGCGCCAGGTGTGGCAGGAGAGGCGGTCGCGGCACTGGCCCAGCCGCTGGACGATGTGGTAGCTCCGTGCATACCGCCCAGACCGGGAAGAGAGGGATAATCCTCGTTGATGGCCCGCCAATCCTGCCATGCCTTTTGCAGGGCCTCAGCCTTCTTCTTGTCTTCAAAGAGATCGGCCACTTCGCGAAGCAACGTTCCTAAAGCGTTTGATGACGTGTCTGCGAAGAGGGAGAAGAAGGCGTCGACAAGCTGAGGCGCCGTGAACTTCCCTCTCCTAAAGGACGATATGTGTTCGCGGAAGGTGTTCATCTTCGCTTCATCCTTCTTGAGCAGGGTTTCGGCACGTTCGATAACGGACTGATGGCGCAACATCATCGCTCGCTCTTGAGGAGGCAGTGACGAGATATCAGTGACACTTAGTTGCTCCATCGCTGTCGTCGGCAGTGCTGGAGCGGGCGTCTGACGGGAAGCTGCTGAAGGCGCAGGGGCGTTGCCTTGGCGAGAGGAGGTAGGCTGTGATGGCGCGGAGGATGAAGAAAGCTGACCGCCAAATGTTCGGTTGGAAACTGATTGTGCTGAGTGAATGGCCATTTGCCTCTGGAAAGCAAGCTCATCACGACGAAGCGGCTGAGCTGAGCTCTGAGGGATGGGATCCGCATTAGGATCTCGGCCACGGCCACGTCCTTGTCGACCGCTACCTGATCCTCCTCCTCCACCACCACCACCTCCGCCTCGCCTCTCATTCTCGTAACTGGGTCTGAAGTCGAAGCCGGACATGTTAACGACGCGCGCATCTCTGCGGACGTCCTTAGAAAGAGAGTCGGCATGTTCAGCAAGCTGGTGCGCCTTCAAGTCCATCTCAGACTCGAACACCACGAACTTCTTTTCCAAACACTCCCTGTCGAGACATGGGAAGTGGTCCTTCTCGAAGTGCTTCTCCAACGCAGGGTAGTTCACAAAGTAGTGAGGGTGTCTCGAGTCTCTTCGGTCGCAGAGGAAACATCTCTCATGCTTCTCACGGCAATGGTCAAAGAGCTTGTCGTCATCGTAGAAGCGCGATCCGCAGAACCCGCAGAGGGGATGACCTTTGAAACCAGTCTGGTCGATTGCGCCAGGCTTGTCGTCACCGTGCCTCATGTGCTTCTCAAGCTCCTTATCGGCGAAGAGTTCGTGCTCGTGGGTGAAAAGCTTCTTGTTGCGGGTACACAGATCGCACATCTTCCGTTGGTGAGTCGACCGCACATGTCGGTGCAAGTCTGGCCAGCCCAGGCCGGCGAAGACACAATCGTCGGCTGGGCAGTTATATCGGAGCAGCACTACAGTATCGCCAACGATTTCTTCGTTTGCATATCGAATACCGATGTTACTGTCGAAACTCGTGATGTCGGCGTCGGAATATTCTTCGTATCGCTTGTTTGCGTCTTCGGTGAAGATTACAAAGGGAGAGGGTGTCTTGGCTCAAGTCAGCTTCCGTAGTTCCGCTGGACACAGAGAGGACTTACTCTGCAGTGAGGGCAGTCTTTGGTCTTGTACAACGCTCTCATACGCAGACCGCAGATATGGCACGTCTTGTGATTGCATGGCGCAATGGAGTGAAACTTGATGGGCTCTGCGCAGATGAAGCACACCTCGCCGTCGGTGCTAGCAGCATCGTCGGCATCTGCTGCGGCGCGGGCAACCGGCTTGGACTCAGGCTTCGGGGCAGCTTGTGGGGAGCTTGCATCCTTGGACTGGGCAGCGGCACCAGCATTGTTGCCTCCTCGACCACGACCGCTCCTCTGTCCGCCTCGGCCGCGAGATCCAGCATTACCTCCACCACCACCGCCGCCGCCGCGGCCTCTGCCACGGTTGCGATTGCCCCGCGAGGGGTTCGAGGATTCAGTAGACACTTGGGCGTCCGCCATGGAGATCGTCGTTGTTTGGTGACTTGTTCTGGGTAGAGGTATGGTATCGAAAGCGCCTTGTCGGGTGGGGGCTCGGTCAAGGCTGACGGTTGCTCCGTTTGCCGTTGCGCGAAAAGTGTCGCTGGTGGAACCAGGATGCTTATCGAGGGATATGAAGCTGGCTTCCGATGCGCGCGGCAGTATTCGGGGAAGTGAACAGCAGTTAATTGAAAATGAGGGTAAGGGAGACCGAGGGAAGCAAGAGACAGACGGCGCGGACGGTTTTATTCGGGTGCCGCGAGACGAGGGACGTCCAAATTAATGATTATGTGTGGCTCCCAAAGGAACTTGCATTGGTGGATGCCAGCAGAGAGGATGGCGGGGTCCAGCAAAAGGTCCCCTGCCGGGGAGCGAGAAGAGAAAAAAAAAAGGCCTGCCGGGGATTCTCCGGTTCTCGCTTCTCGGTGTGCGTCATTCACCCCTGCAACGCGCTGCGTCCGGCTGACAGCTGGTGGAAGCTTCGGGTGGGGTGCTATGATTACATAAGACGTTGCTCGGAATCAGCTCTCGTAACGCATCGAGTCACCGGCCAAAGTTGGCAGCGTGTGTGGCGTTGATGTTTAAGTGGCAGTGCTTATGGTATTGAAGACATGAATATCTGATTGAGTTTGAACGTCCACGAACTCTGGCATGTATGCAAGGTGACTCACCTTGGAGCTACTTAATTGTCCCCGTGTATGGTGGCCTTTGATATTAGCTAGATTGCATCACTGTCACCGAGCCTCACCAATGCCGATCAAGTTCAGACAGATTGGAGACTAAGACTAGTGTCGGCCTAGTATCTCAAGGCCGAGCAGGTCAGACGCTCCCCTGCGCATAGCTGCGAGTTCAAACGCAGCAGCGTTTCCCGGTGTTGCCCATATGGGGCGAACCATGTCTTATGACGGTGCCATCCACAAACTCTTCTACTGGAACCATCGCGAACCTGTTCAATTGCTGCCGTTTCCCCCATGCCCGACCAAAGAACCCTTAAAATCTGCTGAGCCCAAACCAGAAAGACGCCTGTATTTACATCCACCACCGCCGCCCCACTCTGTTGCAGTCTCGGCCTTACTCTGCTTCGACTGGGTAGAGATGGCTGCCGATCATCTTGTTCATCTGGAACATGTCCACCTTGGGCACCTTGAATATGGCTTGCATTTTGTCGTCGCAAAGAATCTGCCGCTTATTTTCGGGGTCCTGCAGGTCGTTCCCCTTGATGTGCTCCCAAAGCTTCTTGACCACTTGCGGACGGGACAGCTGGCGAAACATGTTAGAGCCTGTACAAGTGGCCAAGTGCGGTCAGCGGGACATACCTGTTGCTCGCCAACCAGCTCCGCCAGGGGAGAGCTCAAGTTGAACGGCTTTTGGAAACCACCACCGGCCTTGCGCTTAGGCGCCTCGCCTCCCTCGATGTCACTGTCGTCACCATCGCGAACCTTTGTCGCGCTCTTCTTCTTGGGAGCAGTCCTCTTCTTCTTGGTGTTTGACTTGTTGGTCGCCCCGTTGCCGCCGCGGGTCGTCCGCCCTCTGGCCATGCGGTTCTCCTGCGCCTGCAGCTCGGCGGCAAGCTTGGCATCTGCGTCCTCTGACGAATCCTCGCGCTTTTGCTTCTTGCGGACGGGAGACACGGACACCTGTATTTCGCCATCGCCGTCGACCTCGTCGTCATCGTAACCGTTGGCCTCACGTTTATGAGGAGGGCTTGCGGATTGATCGTTGCCGTCTGGTGAGCCGGAGATGGCGTCGAAGCGCTCCTCGATCAGCGCCTTGATAGCATCCTGGAAAAGAAAAAGTCAGCCTGTGCCCGACGGTGCTGTTCACGCGAGTCGCCCAAACGCCGAGTCGCCCAAACGTGGTATGTGTGCCTACCTTCTGAGCACTAAGATCCTTTCCACCAAGGGCCGTCTCCAGACCTTGGCGAATCTTTTTCCGGGTGACGGTGGTGAGGTCCGCTGTCGCAAGGATGCCGTCGACGATGGAGGTGTAGCGAGACTCCTCCTCTGCGCTGACTGTAGAAAAGGATGTTAGCGAGGGGGACCCGACTGAGACCCAAGCGATGGGAAAGTGATGGGTACGCACGTGGGCTAGACATGATGTCGCCGGGCTGACCACAATATTTATGCACCGATATGTATGTCGTAGATGCGTCGGCAGCGGATCCGGGCCGTTCCTTTTTGTATGATGCACGTCCGGGCGTGAAATATCGGTAAGATGTAAATATGCTGGCGGGAGCCGCAGGTAGATGGCAGGCAGGAAGAGGGAAGGCGAGAGTTGGGTAAGCTTGTAACCTCTGGTTAAAGCATCTCTTGTGATGGAAATAGAAGCTGCGACGGGCTACGGCGAAGGAACGTTGCTGGATGAGGGAGGTGGAGCACAGCGCAATCCACGCCTTTGGTCGTATCGCGGCGTCGGGTCGGGGGCGCATCAACCCGCGAGAAATGGACGGACGAACCGCACAAGGCTGAAAGGGGACCGACGGACGATCGTTGGTGGGGCGTGGATGCCAAGGCGGGAGGTGGAAGGACGCGAAGATGCCGTTGCTCGAGTGCGCGACGCGGATGAGGTAGAGATGCTGAGGGCCGCTCCGATCCGGTACAGGGCAGAGTTGGATGCGACGATGAGGCCGTGACGAGGAGGCGTGCAGCGGTGTCGGTGGCAGCGGCGGTGGTGGTGTTGTGATGCACAATCAGAAGGTGGCCAGTGACCTGGGATGGTGAGGCTCTCCTTCCGTTAGGCTATCCGGTAGGTTGTTTGTTTGGTTTGGCGGGAGCGAGACTCCTCCTAACCGGCCTCTAGCGTGGTCTCTTGTTTCCTTCTGGCCAACGGGATTCAGGCGCAACAATCGTGTGGCTGGAGAGAAAGGAAAGGCCGAACACAACTCGCTGGCTCTCACAAAAAAGTGGTCTTTGGTCTTGCATTAGACGTTGGCTCGAGCTCTGGCAGTCCAGACCACTGCGCCGTGCCAATCACGGCTGCGAATTGGCTCCCGCCCCATGTCCCACGGCACCCGTCGGCAGCCTCCCCACACGAGCAACACTCATTGTTCGGGCTTCCTTACGACTGGTCTGCCTTAGGTAAGCGCCTTGCCGGCTGGTAAGTATCACGTGGCTTGGCTTGCGTGGCCGGGAAATTCAAAGGTTGACTTGCCGATGACTTACATAAACACTCGATCCCGTACATCCGTGGATCTCGGTGTCAGCACCTTGATCATGTCCTCCAACCACACCTCGGTGACCCTCGCCAATCACGTTCTATCTCTTCGGTGAACGGGCTACTCTCTTTCCTGAATTGGCAGCACCCTCGTCGCCTGCCAAACGGGTGCTCCACTCTTGGCTTAGCTTCGGCCCAATGGCCTTCCCAGCCGGTGCAGCGAGGAGGTCATGTCCCGGCAGTCGGTGTGATCTTGGACCCTTCCTCTGATGTTCTTGGATTGAACACTGATGACGTCGCTGATGTATCTATCTCTCTGAACTACTGTTTCGTCGAACAAACTCCAGCATTAATCATCCTTCATTCTCCCTAGATCTTAGCGCAGCGCCGTCCCGAGGGACACTTCATCATGTCGCTCCTATGGGTTCCCACGATGCTGAACCCCTTTAGCATGCTCACTCAGGCCTTCCCCCCGCATCCGCAGTTCACAGAGAAAGACATTGCCGATCTCACCGGAAGGGTCAGTCTCTCTCAACCCCACATGCACGGCTTCGTCTCACGTCGTACAGGTATGCATCGTAACGGGTGCCAACACGGGCGTTGGCAAGGAGGTCGCGCAGATCCTCTACTCCAAAAACGCTACCGTCTACGCCACATCGCGCTCCGAAGAAAAAGGACGCGCAGCTATCGCCTCCATCAAGGAAGCGATTCCCGACTCCAAGGGCAAGCTTGAACTCTTAACCCTTGATCTGGCCGACCTGACCACCGTCAAGCCGGCAGCCAAGGCGTTCCTCGCCAAAGAAACGCAACTTCACCTCCTTATCAACAATGCCGGCGTCATGATGCCACCGCAGGGCAGCCAGACCGCCCAAGGCTACGAACTGCAGCTGGGCACGAACTGCGTCGGGCCCTTCCTCTTCACCAAGTTGCTCACACCCACTCTGGTGGGGACGGCCAAGGCGGCGCCCAAGGACAGTGTGCGTGTCGTCTGGGTGGCAAGCTCTGCTACCGAAGTCCTCTCACCAACTCCCGCCATTGAGATTGACAATCTCGACTACAAGCGGGATAGACTCAAAGAGGTCAAGTATGGAATCAGCAAAGCGGGGAATTATTTCCACTCGACAGAGTTCGCAAAGCGACACAAGGCCGACGGCGTGATCAGCGTGGTAAGAGCCGATGTGCGAGTACGATCAAGCAGAGGACAGAATCTGACATCCGATTAGGCGTTGAATCCCGGAAACCTGAAATCAGACCTAGACCGTCACATCACTGCTTTCATTCCGCGGTTCTTCAGGAAGACCACAACGTATCCTCCTATCTACGGGGCTTACACGGAGCTCTTCGCCGCTGTTTCACCAGATGTCACTATCGAAAAGACTGGAGACTGGAGTAAGTGTCTGCTAGAATCAAACTTGAGTCGGGCTAATTCAACAATGCAGTTGCTCCCTGGGGCCGCTTCTACTCGATCAGGAGCGACTTGGTTGAAAGCTCCAAGTCTCGCGAAGAAGGCGGCACTGGCCTTGCTGAAGACTTTTGGAAATGGACTGAACAGCAAGTCGAGAACTATCTGTAACGCTGAAACGACCTTTCTACAACGTCATTTGGCACGGTTTGCATATCGAAGGCCTACTTAGCAGCAGACCACAGCTTTGAGTCACCCGCAGTCGCCTGTGACAACTCAAGAAGACAGATTCGTCACTGAAGAATATATTCAAAACTAAGTCCAATAGGCACAGTGCCAAAGTCTCTATGTGCAAAAAAGATATGTACATCAGAATGGGGTCGCGCTCCTCCTCGCCTCAAGATCCCGGCCGATTACGTCCGGAGAACTCGAGGCATGTCTCATGATTGGGCTAGGCCATTAACGACCTGCTTACTGGCGCTGCTGCTTGGTGCTGCGGCGGCGGCGGCGACGGCAAGCGGGCTTAGCAGAGGCCGAGGCGGCGGGGGCAGAGCTGGTGGTCGCGGCAGCCGGGGTGGTGGCAGCGGGAGCGGAGGGCTCCTCGGAGACAACGGGGGCAGCGGAAGAGACGGGGGTGGCGGCCGGGGCAGAGCTGGCGGGCTCAGAGGCGACGGGGGCGGCAGAGGAGGTGGCAGCAGCGCTGGAGGTGGGGGCAGCGGCGGCGGGAGCAGAAGTGGCAGCAGGGGCAGAGGTGGCGGCAGGGGCAGCGGAGGAGGCAGGGGCGGCAGAGCCGGAGTCAGAAGATCCGGAGCCGACGGCGGTGGTGATCTCGCCGTCCTCGATGTAGACGCCGGAGAAGTAGAAGTCCTCGGTCTCATCGGGGTAGCCGTCGCGGGGGAGCTCGAGGACACCGACGTGCCAGTCGGCGCCGTTGCTGGAGGCGGAGGCCTTGACGGGGGCGACGATCTGCTTCAGGGCGTCGGAGCCGGTGGAGTGCCAGAAGCCGACGGAGCCGCCGTCAAAGTCGATCTCGTAGGCGACGTTGTGCCAGACGTCAGCCTCCCAGGTGACGTTCCACTGGGTGGTGCCGCCGACGACCCAGCGGAGGAGGGGGTCCTCGGTGCCGGAGGCGCCGCTCTGCCAGCCGGACTTGAGCTCGACGAAGTGGCTCTCGAAGAAGGCGATCTGGTGCTCCTTGCTCAGGGAGGGGGCGTTGGTGTCGCTGCGCTTGAGGCTGAAGTGGTAGTACTTCTTGCCGGAGCCGATGGCCTCCTTGGTCTGGGGGATGAGCTCGGTGCGGCGCATGGTCTGGCCGTTCCAGAAGGAGGTGCTGGTCAGGGAGATCTTGGCGCCCTGCTTGGAGCCGGTGTCGGCGGGGTTCTTGAAGTCCTCGGAGAGGTTGACGTAGTCGGTGGTAGCGCCGGAGCCGTGGATGTAGTACTGGTAGGCGCCGACCTGGTTGCTCCAGGACCACTTGTCGAGGTCGCTGGAGGTGGTCATGTCGTTGAAACGGCCGTCCCAGACGATGGCACCCTGGGCCTGGGTAGCCAGCAGAGCCGCGCTGGCGATGTTGACAGTGCTGAACTTCATTTTTGCGGGTATTTGTGTTGTTGTCTGAAGAGACTTGTGGTGTAAGTGAATGTGTGGGTGTGCTGTTGCCTGAACCGACCCGGTCGGCTTGGAGGAAGCTTGAATGAACGAATGGAAGGGGTGAGTGAAGAAAGAGAGGACGCAGGTCGCAGCAATCGATGCCTTGGCCGTGCTTCTAGAAGTTCAGTGGACGAGAGAATGAAGTTATAAGCTCAAAAGCCAAGGGGGAGGGGAAAGAAGGGGTGGCACACGCTGGCGGCCACACTTCTTTATGTAGGACATGAATTTTCCACTCTCACGGTGGCCCTGGATGGGACGAACCGAACATCGAAGGCCATCTCGCTCCGTGATTCCCAGAAGGGAGATGACCCCGCAGGCCTAGCTGCGAGGAATAGAGTAGAGTGGCCTCCTTTGGGGGGATTGGGGCCTGCAGAAGCCACTCTGTCGGACGGCAAGGCTACCCGGTTCAGCGGGTGCTGGAGGGATCATGACATTGAGTTGTGTGTGTCTGCTTGGGTGTTTCTCCGTGCAGGCGAGGAAGGGAACAAATTAGATTGCGGAGTTGTGCCTGGCTTCAGGTGAGGCCATGGGCCATGAGGCCACGCCATACCGCAGCGAGACGCATGCAGGTACGGTACGGATGGGATCCCAGGCACGGCGGCAAGGTCAGCGTTTATTGCCAAGTTGCAGGCCATGGGAAAGAGAGCCGAAGCCTGCCCGAAGGGGGGATCGCGACGACCAACAGGCCGGGCAGGGCCTGGACTGGACTGGACGGACGGGCTTTGACTCCCCCCAAAGAGCCCAAGTCTGTCTCCCAGCAGGGCGGCAGAGCGAGAGAAATCATCAAGGGTTGGCGGGGGGCGCTTTGTATAGATGAAGGCGAGTCCACATCTCGTTTGCGCCTTGTATGGGAAAAAAAGCAGGTCGATGCAGGGGGTTGTTTAAAAGTGACAGAAGTGAAGCTTTTCCCCTGGGAAATTTCCACGGAGGGCGGAGCGGGGCCACTAGACTCGATCGGGGGGCCTTTCCAGACGCTGTGAACGCTGTGAGCCCGGTGGGCGCGCCCCTATTCGGCACGACCGGGAACACCCTGAGCGAGTTCATCCCAAAAGTCAATTCATTCGATTCCCAGCGCTGTGTTTGACCGTTTGTTGTTGGTGGAAGATGATTCAAGCGTATTTTGACTCTGGAAGCCGATGAAGCCACCGGATTTGTTACCGGCCACCCTGACCGTAGCACGGCACAAACAATTAGCAGCAGGTGATTATTGTCATGCAGTGACAGACATGTCCAGGCCGACGATGGAAGGTCACAGTGTTTTCGGCTATCGCTTCAACAGCGGCACAACCCAAGCGGGAGATCGCCCAATAACGACAGGCATTTCCGTGAATCGGGCCCGACAATCCGAAGCGCCCACATCGCGCCCCCGGTTTTGTGTTGTGCACCGCTGTGTCCTGACCTGCGCTGCGGGCCTTGAGTCGGCTCCGGCGCACCCGTCGTCAGATCCAAACATCTCAACATCCCCGATGGCACAATTGGCTAGCGCGTCAGACTGTTAATCTGGAGGTTGGTGGTTCGAGCCCACCTCGGGGAGATCTAGTGGTTAGATTCCACCTAAGAGTTGATGATTTGTTTTTTGTCTTTTTGGCTTTTTTTTTCCCTTTGTCAATGACCACCAGTCTTTATCGCTCACCATCTTCTCGTCCTCTGTGTATACCTCCAGCTCATGACCGCAGATATTCGCAGGCGCCCTTACCCCAGCGCGTCGCCCCCTTGTACACCCACATGCCCGGCGCATTACCACTTTTCAAACCCTCAATTGCGTCGGCGACCTGCGGCCCAATGCCTTCGTTCTTGATCTCCTCCAGCGGCGTCATGTAAGTCTTGAAACTGAACATGATGGCGCCCGTCTTGGGCAATCTGGTCAAAGTCTGCAGTTCCTGTCTAAGGCGGGTCTTGAAACCGTTAGCTGCGTATTTCTCTCTGACATAAAGGCTGTTCTGCGAACCTTGCTAATGTCAATATCCTCGTCCTCCTGCGGCTTATCGCCGTCGTAAATGTGCAGCCCGCTGGGGCTGAAGAGCCTTTCACTCGTCGAGATAGACCACTAACCCGCTGAATTAGTCCAAGCCCGCCCATCTAGACAACTTCATGACTTACGTTCATGCGCTTGACGCTCTTTCCCACCTGCAATCGGCTAAAGAAGCGTTCCATGCTGGCCCCGATCTTCTCGTATGACGGCACGGGCGTGTGGATGTCCTTCAGCAACTTGCCCAGCTTGTCCGAGGGATCAAAGCCAGCTGGATGGCAGCAGATGAACGCGACTGCGCGGTGGCCTTCTGGAGTCTCGACCAGCAGGAAGATGTCGTCTTCAATGGTTTCTCCCAGGGCTTGAAGCGCAGCGTTGGGGTCTTCGGGTGGCATCAGAGGCAGCGATGTCTTAGTGACCTTGTTGTAGAACTCCTGGCCGTCTTCGGACAGGGCGAACATGGTTGGAAATCGAGCTGGCAGGTACTCTCCGAGCAGATACGTGTATGCCTCGTGGAGAGCCGGTATGCCTTCGGGGACAGCCCCCAGCACTGTGGGTGCGTGGTGCTTGATGGTCTCGCGACGTTCGTTGACGCGATCCAGGTAGTTGCTGTCCATGATGACAAGGTCGTCTGGTGAACTGCCCTGGATGGCTATGAGAGAAAACGGTTAATATGAGGACGAGGCGCCTTGAAAGACGAGATAGACTGGGGCTTACCCATGGTGATGTGGTAGACTGGCTTAAAGGGGCGATGCTTGTCCGGTGGTGTCTGCTCCCAGTCGAAACACTTCAGGGGTGTAATGGCAGCAGCGCTGTCCGTCTTCTCTGATGGTAGAGGCTCATGGGATATTTTCTGGGCTTTGGTCAGAGACTTGACAGTCGAAGAATGTCCAACACACTCACTTTGTTTAGGGGCCGTCCTCTCCATCTCCACACAGAGAAGATGGCAACGGCCAACGCCAACGCCGCGAGGAAGAACATGTCTGGATCCTATTTTCTTTAATCTGGATGCCTGCTCTGTGGCCTGAAAGAAGGTGAAATAAGTCTTTTCGTTACAACAAGTGATATAAGTGTTCGATCAAGGCGATTGTAGACGTGTCTCAACTCGTTCAGCAACCCGAGTAAGGTGAGGGTCCCTGATATACGTCGATGGCCCAGGCCAAGATAGAGCGTTATCGGCCCAACCAGCTGGGTCTCTAGCCGCCCCTCCACCAAAAGGCTAGTTTCCCTATCAAGCTATTCCACGCGTGAGTATGTCACTCAGGACAAACTTTCCAGAAATGGATGCTCGAATGAGACCACCGGCCGCTGAGTGGTTGGACGAACTCGGGACTTGCGTTCGGTCGATCAACAAGGCGCCTTTGACATCCTGTCACCACATCGTAAAAGATAACATCAGCTTGCATTCAGCAGCACTCATCTGCAACAGTTTCAAATTCAATCGCAAGTATCGACCGGGTTCCGGTCGGGAGATCCCATCCGCGGGGTACATACTTGGTCATGGCGCTGGACGATTCCCCGCACGCCACGCTGGCAAACGACCTGGGATGAC